TTTTGCAAAGCCTTCACACGTACATAATGTGTATGAGATTTTCCAGTTTATAAATAGCATCTTTTCCAAAATAAATCCAAGAAGATTATTTAAATAAGTGGCTGCCACATTTTGACCTTCAAAAGGATCATTTATAAACCCACAACTAACTTGCTATTACTTTATGATCCAATCCCAGTAGTACTCATTAGCTCTTGGTAAAACCCAGTTGCTAAGTCTGAAGCACAGATATTTCTGTGAAAAGTGGTTTATGTACCTCTACCTGCTTCCTGCATTGTCCACTGCCCATCTGCAGATCAGTCTTGGATGATGTTGAACCCCAAGCAGGATGTGTCAGTGGCGGTCCCACTGTGCTCTGTGTCAGGTTTGAGGACAAAATGGAGGCCACCATATAAGAGGATGGTCAAACAAACCAGAGCACCAACTTAAACAAAATGTAATCAATTCATTCATGCCAGTGATCAAGATCAAGTGTCCTGAGGAGCAAACCCAAGGGAAAAGGTCATTTCCAATGTGGTCAGAAAGAGGTGAGGGGACTGTCTAATTCTGACTTGCATCATGCTGGGCTTAAGTTCATTCAAGACAATCAAAGAAGGGTAGATGTAGCTGAATTCCCCAGACACTGGGACAGAAAGACAGTAGAAAACAAACCTCTTTCAAGTGGGGGGTAAGGGATTCAATAAGGATAAACTCTGGGCATCCACAGGATTCAGGCAGAAGGGAGTAGGTCACCTTTTGATCACCCAGGGATATAGAAAGAAACATAGTATGGAGAAGACTCAAGTTTCTAAAGGGTCCACTCATATCCAAAACGCATCCATTCACTGCAGAATATTCCAGGGCCAATGAACCAGTGAGGCCTGGTATACAAATCTCTCTCTCTGTCTCTCTCTGTCTCTCTCTCTCTCTCTCTCTGTCTCTCTCTCTTTCTCTCTCTCTGTCTCTCTGTCTCTCTCTCTCTGTCTCTCTGTCTCTCTCTCTGTCTCTCTGTCTCTGTCTCTCTCTCTCTCTGTCTCTCTCCCTCTCTCTTTCTCTGTATCTATCTATCTCTATATCTCTCTGTACTTTTTCTCACTGTACTAAGAATTGAGCCTAGGGCTTTCACACTGAGCTATATCCCAAGCCTTTATTTTGTTTTTTATTCTAAAAAACAGTGCACTAAGTCTTTACATTGCCCAAGGTGGACTCAAACTTGCAATTCTCGTGTCTCAGCTTCCCAAAGTGCTGGGATGACAGACTTGGCCCATTCTCCTTTCATTAGCTGAGTGCAAGACCACAGTAGTCCCCAAAGAACAGATTATTGATGCCCACACTGGGCATAGAGTTGCAACAGGAGTAAGAATGGCTAAGTGTGGGTTTGTGTGACAACACTATTTTGACCAGTTAATAAATCCTTGGCTATTTGCCTAAAAACTGGATGAGATCAGCCTAGGAGGAATGGCTGCCGTTAATTAACATGTCTTCCAGATATGCTCCTCCAGGGAACAATGCTCCAGAGAATTACACGTGCCTTTATCCAACCGGTCACCACAGTCTGTCCTCTAAACACTCAGTTCCTTTCCAAAAAGTGAGAGACCACACTACAGTGATCCCTGGCTGAATGCTCCTTGAGACAGTCTTCTTTCAAACAGATGAACTAATCTTTTTTTACTCTCAGTCTCTCTCCTTGCTCCAATAGTATAGTTAGCACTAATTGAACAAAGGCAGGAAATTTCTTCATGGCACTGAATTTTAATAAAAATAATTTTTGAGTAATTTCAAAGATAACAATCATCCAAGTACCTAGATGGCAATCAATAAATAAGACCCTTCATCTTACTTGCTTTTTGCATTTTTTCTATGTCTGTGATTTAAAATAATAAATTAGTTAAATATTCACTCTATTCTACCTTTCAAAATCAAAGAAACATTGCAATAAGTAACTGCAGATCTCTTATGTACAGGCCTCATGCTCCACCTATCATCCAAGGCAAACACTGTATGCCTTAACAACAGGTCTAACCAGATTGTATTTAAACTCTATATCTATTCAAAAGCCTTAACTTCAGTCATCCCACACCCAGACTGCTATGACCTGTTCCTCCTCTTGCTCCTGTGCTTTTCATCCTCCTACCTCTTCCTAAATGTGGCATCATCACCTGCCTTATCATCCACCAGGTTCCCTTCCATGCTCACACAGCAGCATGACTGTTAGAAAATTCCAATCAAAATGAGTTTCATTATCTTTTCAAATTATCCTTGCTTTTATAAAACAAGCTTTCAATTCTTCTTAAAGTGAGGGGGAGCTTCCATTGTCTCCTCAAGAGGAAAACGGTAATTGCCAAAATGTTTTAAATGAAGAAATATCCATGTCCCTTACTGCCACACAGCAAAGGCAGAAGGGACAGTAGTGAAGGAAATGCAGCGCATAGGCAATGGTTTCTTGAGATGAGTGTTCCACTAATTCATCTGTTCATTTCTTATCAGATTTAAGGGTAGAAAAATGGAGAATCATGTTGAGATGTACTATTAAAAACATCTACAGCATTAAGCATGTTTCCCCTGCTAGCCTGGCACTGAGGTTGTGGCTGGTGTGGGCTCCTCAGTTATTCAAATGCACATTTTCTTTTGAAAATGAGTAAACATATTTTTAATACACTACGGAGACTGTTAGAATATCACAGAACCTGACTTTTAGGTAACAGACAGATTAGATGTGTTGAGATGGAAAGGAGCAAGGCAGGCTCTCTTTGGGGCACGGGGCTCAAATTGTGAGACCAGATCTCTCAAGGCAGCCTCAAGGTTGGTGACGCTGGGCGGTTGTGTTCTGGAAGTGCTGCACTGAGTGGGGAGGAGGACGACAGAAAGACTCTTGAATTAAAGAGTGAGACTCAGTTCTTCTTAAGCTTGAGGAAGAGAGAAAGGGTAGAATAGAAAAAAGGGGGAAAAAAAAAAAACCAAGAATGTGGCACATTAGCCTTGCATTTCCTTAATAGGCGATAACACTTCTGGTGGCCTCACTTGTTTGAAAGTGAGCTGATAATACCTGAACCTATCTCCATTATACGGCAAATTTCTCATCATCAGAGATTCTATCTGGTTTCTGTCATGGGTCTTCTGGTTACAAGGAGAGAGAAACTCACTTCAGATAACTCAAAATATAGGAGTTTGTGGAAAAATGATCTGAAAAAGTAACTTGCCACCTATATGTGTGTCCCATATGCCACCATATTCACACTCATATACATGTACTCTTGTTTAGATGATAGAAAATGGACAATATTCAAGCATTTTTACCTTCAAAGATGCTAACTTTATAGAGTGGAACATACGTAATTGCTCTCCTCTGTTCCCTTTTCATACAGATCATAATATATCAGTTAAACAGAAAATTCCTAACATATAGAATCATTGTGTCTAAATTTCCAGATTCCAAATACCCGAGAGAGAAAGCCCCTGGCACAGCTGTGATTGGTTAGTGTGAGAGGAGAAACATGGCTGCTGTTGGCTACTTTTATGGAGAAGGTGTACATGAGTGTACCCGTAGGATAGGCATGTGTGGATGCATGCATTTGTGTGATTTACAGGTGAGTATGTGGTGTGTGCATGAGTGTGTGAAAGAGCAGGAAGGGATACCAGAATCCAATCTCTGAGACACAGATGAATGGTAGACCTCACACTCAGCCAGAGTAAATTCCACTGCTCAAGGCCTCTACAAATATCCATGTTCTGATGGAGCCAATAAAAATTAATCAATGATAAAGACAATGTTGCAGTTATTGAACTATATGACAGTTGTGTATAAACTCCTATTTGGTGGCCACATACCCCAGGGCTTTCTGAGAATCTCCAGACTGAGAGTATACAGTCCAAATTCCTAAAGTCATCTTGGTAAGATTTACTACCCCCTACTGGCTCCTACCTAGCCAAACTCAACTATAACTCCCACAAATAGCTCCTCTCTCCAGCCAGGCACTAGAGACATACTAGTAATAGTAGAGATACTTAAGTGCCAAGCCTTTGACAGTGCCATCCACCATCTCCCTGGAAATGCCTTCTCCCTGCCTCCCACCTCCTTACATTGTACTTCTTTGAAATTCTGTTTAGTCCCACTGTGCTCCAGGAAGATCTTTTGCTATAGTTTATATTTTAAAAGTCCCCTGAAGGCCCCTGTATTGAAAATTTGATCTCCATCGGTGGTGCCAATGGAGGTGGAGCCTAATGAAAGGATACTGAGACTCCTTTCACAACTCTTCAATTTCTTAGCTATGAAGTGTACAGCGCCTCCTCTACACACTCCCACCATGACACATGTGTTCTGCACAGACTCCAAAGCAATTGGTCCATCCAAACACAGATTAAAATCTCCATAATTAGGAACCAAAGTAAGTCTTTTCTCCCATAGATTATCTCAGAAATTTTGATAGGCATTTTCTTTTTTTAATTTTTTTTTTGTCTTTTTCATTTTTTTATCAGTACCAGGGATCGAACTCACAACTGCACACTTGCAAGGCAGGTGCTTATGCCGCTGAGCTAAATCCCCAGCCCCGATAGGCATTTTCAAGATGATATGCACAAAGCAAGTTCCCGGCACTTAGTAACAGGTGATAATTGTTATTAATGTTATTCTGTTATCCTTATTTAAAAATGGTATTGCATACTATTGTCTTCTTCCTACCCATCTCCATTTCCCAAAGTCTGAAAGCTCCTGTCATCTAATTCTGCCTAATGTTTCCTGGAATTGCAGCTAAGTTGTTTATACCAGCACATGTGTCTTCCTAAACGCCTATGTTCTCCTAAGAAACAGAATCCTGCCCATATTCATCCCTTCCTCACATGTGCTAAGCAGAGCAGGTGCTCCAAAGATACCAGTTAAATTGTTTAGAGGAGTCAGGGAGAAAAGACTGAGTAAATAAATAATTTTAGAAAACCAGATTTTGCACATTTTATAGCAAGAGAATACTTAAAGGTAAATAAGAAAAATTTCTCATAGTAGAAGAGTGTACATAAAAAACACCATATGCAGAAAACACTGAGATTTATTTTCATGCAGCATCTTTTATTCAAAGCATTACAGACATTTGCTTGAAAGAGTCAGTTGTATCAAGGGCAGATGACTCAATGAAATGTTTCAGCCACATTTTATAATGGGGGCGAAGCTCTTCCGGTTGTCTCTTTGCCAGGCTGAGGGCCAGCAAATGAGTAGGAAGGAACCAGTGATGCGGAAAATTCACAGCATAAAACAAGCCTCAGAGTAGTTTAGCCAGACAACTTGATCAGTGCAGCAGTGAGGAACACTCCTTGTAACTTTGGGTCCCAGCAACTTGAAGTTGTGTGTGGTGTCATGTGAGACCAGGATGCCACCATGCCGAGGCCTGCAGTGCTCCCTGCATGAACACAGCCTTTCAGAGAACCTGGAAATGGAACTGATTTACCAGGCATAATAAAAAAACACAGTGAATTTTTTTAACATTGTAAATTAATTATAGTAAAGGATACATTGCTATTGACCTCTTTCAAAATACTCCCCCTCATTTTGAACTGACAACAACGTTCTTGCCACTTTCTGAAGCTGCTCTGAAATTCCTTTTCCCTTAATGCCTTTAGTTGCACAGTCAAGGCTATATGTGTCCTGAATTGATTCGAAACCCTTGCCTTTCATGGTCATCTTGACTTTGGGGAAGAGCCAGAAGTAGCATGGCACTAGATTACTAAAATAAGGTGGACAGGAGACTTTGCCTTTCTATTCAATGATTAGAAAGTAGCATCATTCACAGTATTCGTGTTACACCTTGTAAAGACACTCAGGTAAGATGACTTCTAGAGCTGCTTCAGTAATTTGGCAAGAACAATAAGTGTGTTCAAAGTGGGAGGATTTTTTTTTATTTTGATGAAGATTAGTGGTGATGTATTTTTACTGTAATAAATTTTTAAAAATTTAAACAAGACTGTATATTTTGATCACACTGTGTAAATAAATTAAGTGCTTTTCTGCAAGAAACCTGAGAGACAGCTCATCATGGATAAATCCCTAGACAGGCAGACTCCACACACATCACTACCCACAGTCATATTTAGTATGCTCATTTGGGACATGTTAAAGTCTCAAATATTTTTATCAATCTTATAAGAGAGAGATGGCCATTCCAATGTCAATTTCCCATCAATGATTACAGAAAAATATAGTAAGAGATCAGTTTTTAACTATCAATGTCCTCCCCAACCCCATCTTCTCAGAAGTATTAGTCATCTGAACTACCATAAGCAACAGCAGAGGATCAGCAAACTTTCCTGAATATTTGTATTCAGTAGAGTGAGATTTATGCATGAGATGCAAATTACTATGTGTTATTTACACATCGGAAGAAAAACAAATCTTGAATGTAAATATTTAGAGGGCATATTATTCTTAAATATGAAAATAACAAAAATTATCAGATCATTTACAACTCCCACTCTGTTAAAGAGACATTCAAATGAGTTTGTAAAAGAACCTTTGTCAGATTTACAGAAACTACAGCAAACAAAGCATCATTAAAAAACCACCTCTAAAAATCTTTTTAAAAATCTAGTTAGTTGAATGTGCAAGTGATCTTAGTATCAAACCTCATTACAAAGATTTTGTTCTTAATTAATCACTGAGCTTGCGACATTCACCAACTTATTTTCAAGCTTTCCATTGTTACTTTGGAATTGAACTCAATGGAACATTTACTATTTAGCTACCTTGATCTGATCCTTTTTATAGACATAATTTTTTAAAATAAAAATTGGTAAAAACTGAGACTTTATAGCTTTATTCTCTCTAATAGCTTATTTGAGAAATTATGCAAAAAACCAAACTTTCTCCTGGACAATATAGTTTTCACCCACAAATGATAAAATAATCACTCATCCTCGTCACTCACTATGTGTAGGTCTCTTTTGTAATGTTTTTCATATGCTATTTCATTTACTTCCCAGGACACCCATGATGAGTAGGTGCTATTATTGTGGTGGCTCTACAGAGGAAGAAACCAAGGCTTTAGAAGCTAACAGAATTTCTAAGATTGCACACCTGCAAGTGATGAAGCCAAGCTCTAATGCAAAACCCACACCTTGCTGAGAACAATACTGACAGTTAAGACTGAGGCATTGCATCCAAAGGCAACAGGAAAAGAAGATGTACTAAATGCCACTGCAGGGTACTTATGAAACATAAATGGCCTAGGACCATGATGAGCACTTTGTGTTTTATACGTTAAACACCTCTAATCTATAAACCCAAAATCAATAGACGATGTTTCAATATCTGAAACTTTTGGAATGCCAATATGATGACTCAGGAAAATTTTCCATGAGACCTCATGTGATCAGGTCACTGTCAAACAAAAGTGCACTAAAAATAGTGTATAAAATTACCAACAGTGGAGAACATTCCCTGTGGTAATTAGTGTAATGATTCCTCAAAAAACAAAGAATGAAGGTGCTATTCAATCCAGCTGTTTCCCTTTCTGAGTATTTTCCAGAAGAACTGAAAACATGTTCTGGCAATACCTGTGCATCCATGTTTATAGCAGCACAATTTGTAGTCACTAAATGTTGGAAACAACTCTAATGTCCATTAAAAGCAGAATGAATAAAAAAGATGTAGTATTTTTATACAGTGGAGTATTATTAAGCTATAAAGAAGGATACACTTGAGGCTTCCATAGGTAAATGCAACTTATGACCATACCCATAAGTGAAAGGAATCAGCCTTGCACGTGTAAACATCATATTGTCTCTCTAGTTAAAAAAAAAAGAACAAGGACATAAGTTCCAAAATGTCCAATAGATATTATGAAAATGAAAGAGAAAGAAAGTGCTCAAAATGAAAGAACTACTGGGATAGGGGAAAGGAGAAGAGAAACAAGGGAAAATATTATATACATGTATGTGTACATTTATACATGTGTAAGTATATATATGCCAAATAGATAACTGTACTAATAATCTCTATTAGTTCATCAAAAACAACAGTTTGTGTTTTCATTGTTTGATTTTTTTCATGCCTAAATCTTGTAATCTGAACAACTATTTTGAGGATAACAATATGTAATATATTAACTAGTGTTAATTTCCTATTATTTTGTTTTGAAATTCTGCATCATTTTTATTCTTTTTCATTTTGTACTTTAAAATAAAAAAAAATTAACATGACTGGGCACAAAAGTTATACAGTTATAAAATATGAGTGTATTTCATGGTTAGATTTGAGTCCTATCTCCAATATATTCCACTATGTATGCAAATATCCCAAAATCTGAAAGAATCAGAACTCTGAATCACTTCTGGTCTGAGTGCTTTTGGATATAGCATTATTTCATTAGAGTCCCAATTTACTAGGAAGGCTGAGCTAATTTAGTAGGTCAGTATTTGGTAGAGTAGTCTTCTACTTCAAGCCCATGTTTTAACCATGATTCTTCTCCAAATTGTGTTCTTTGGGTTTAAGGTAAGCAGATTCAATTTATCAATAAGATACCAGTAAGCAAAAATATGAATTAATTCACATTCACTCACACACACACACACACACACACACACACACACACACACATACATAAATGCACACACACAAAAAAATACTGCGAATAAGGCTATTTTACTTGCACAGGTAGAACTCCTTTCCAAAGGCATTTTTTGGCAATTTCCTTTAAAACAATTTTGTCTAAGGTATAATTGACCACCAGCAAACAAATATATGTAATGTTCATACTTTGGTAAGTTTTGACTTATGTGTAAACCCATGAAACCACACCACAATCAAAAGAGAGAATTGCTCTGGGCCTGAGCAAGTTTCTCTGGAGTGTGACCTATGTGTTTGCACAGGATCCCATTGTTGGTATCCTGAAATGCTTAATAATTTTTGGACAAGAGATGCTGCATTCCCATTTTGCACTGGGTCTCACAAATTATGCAGCTTATCTTCATGACTTCATTTTTATTTTGGTGAAATAATCTAAAATGTACCCTTCGTACCATTTTTAGGTATACAGTCCAATTGTATTAAGTAATTTATGGTCTTATTGTGTTATGTACATATAGTACCTTTCATTCACATTAAGTATATTTACATTATTGTAAAACCATCACCATCATCCACTCACACAACAGTTTCATCTTCCCAAACTGAAATTTTATACCCATTATGCCATAAACCCTCTTGCTTCCTTTCCCAAGTCTTAGTAGCCACATTCCATTCTCCATAAGTTTGATTTTTATGCACTTCACAGACACAGACTCATCCTGCTATACTCTGAATGTATGTATTCTTCTCAAAATTCTTATGTTGAAGCATAATCTCAAGGAAATAGTATTGAGAAATTGGACTCAGGGTGAAAAATAGGCCATTAGGGCTGCACCCTTGTTAATAGGATTAATGGACTTGGTAATTATTAATGAAATAATGCTATATCTAAAAGGTGGTTCACGGATAGAGAATCCAAGAGACTGTGTTAACTCTTCTTCTACATGAAGATTTGGCAAGAAGAAGCCATCTTTGAAGCAAAGATGGCCATGCTGGGACACTAGATTTGCTGATACCTTGATATCAGGACTGTAGGCAATTAGTTTCTCTTGTTTATAAATGATCTAGTCTACATTTTGTTACAGTACACTTTGTCATATTTATTTGTCTTTTGTGATGACTTTCCTTTACTGAGAATAATATATGAGAAATACTTCAAAAGAAACAACTGGGATCTTATCTTATTAAAAAGAGACTTTTTATTTAAAAAAGAAAGCAAACAGAAAAAAGGGTAGAAATGATACAGAATTTTTAAAAAATAACATTAAGGAAAAATGACATTAATAAATCATCACTAGTTGATATATTACATATTGCTATCGCAGAAGTACTCAAGTTACAAAATCAAAGCATAAAAATTAATAGACAATTGAACAATGATAGCAAAAACTATTCTGTTTGATGAACTACCAAAAGCTTAGTAGTATGGTTATCTATCTTGTATACTTAAACATAGATTCAGTTATATGTGTATATCTACATGTTGTTGTTTCCTTTCTAGCACTTTCTTTCCCTTTAAAAGAAATTACCAACAGAGTGAAAAGGAAACCCAGAGACTAAAAATATTTAGTCAACTTCCCTCACAAAAGGGACTTCTATCTAGGACATATAAAGAACAGAAAAAAATCAGACCCTTCAAATTAAAAAACCCAATTAAAAAATAAGACATCTGAGATGAATATGTACATATCAGATGAAGAAATACAAACAGCATATAAATATGTGAAAAAGTGTTCAACATCACTGGTCATTTGATAGATGCAAATTTAAACCATACTGATATTTCATCTCACTCCAGAAAGAATGGGTAACATCAAGAAATCAACCAATATCAAATGCTGGAGCAGCTGTGGGAAAAACAGAGCACTTCTGCACTGT